CTTGGGTCCAGCAACCACCAAAAGTCCAACAAACCCCACAGACTCTGTGCCTGGTCAGTGCAGCACCAGAGTAAAAGGGGGGCACACAGGGTGTTAAGGGGCACCTTACATGATCCGAGGCCGGCCATCCCTCCATGGGCTTCCGGCACAGTCTTCAACACAAGCCAGTCCACTTCCTGCCGTCCCACAAACTGCTCCGCTCTACAAGCTGCTCCACTCACCGACCTGTGAGTTGTTCCAGCCGTCCCTGCAAACAGCTCTGCTCACCATTCCTTGGGCCACTCCAACCGGCCCCACACTGCTCTCTGCTCCTCCAGTCGTCCCCACAAATTGCTCTGCCAGCTGCTTAGCAATATAGCTTCAGGCTCCCCCACTCGTTAACACAGCACTCAGTGATCTCAGCTCTTCAAAACTTTAGCTCTTCTGTGATTTCAGCTCATAGTAGGGGAGCCCCAGGGCTAGTGCACCATTCACCCTAAGTTTCAGAGTAGCAGCCGTGTTAGTCTGTATCCGAAAAAAGAACAGGAGTACTTGTGGTACCTTAGAGACTAACACATTTATTAGAGCATAAGCTTTCGTGGACTACAGCCCAAAACAGTTGCATCCGAAGAAGTGGGCTGCTTCCACTTACAAAATCAGACATAAAAGCGTCACAGCCACGTTACTCCGGACAAATTGCTGAGTGTCTCATTTTTACCATATCATTATAAAATAAATCAATTGGAATATAAATATTGTCCTTACAGTTCAGTGTAGAGTACACAGAGCAGTATCAACAAGTCATTGTCTGTGTGAAATTTTAGTTTGTACTGACTTCCTAGTGCTTTTTCTGTCGCCTGTTGTAAAACTAGGCAAATATCTAGATGAGTTGACGTACCCCTGGGAAGACCTGTGGGTACCCCCGGGGTACACGTACCCCTGGCTGAGAACCACCGCTCCGTAAGACATGGGAGGTGATCGTCCCGCCCTGCTCGGCACTGGCGAGGCCTCAGCTGGAGTCCCGTGTCCAGTTCTGGGCGCTGCGCTTTCGGGAAGATGTGGACACGTTGGAGAGAGGCCAGAGGAGAGGACCAAACATGATCAGAGATTTAGTAAATGAGACCTGTGCAGAAAGGTTAAAACAAGGGGCATGTTTAGTCTTGAGAAAAGATGACTGACGGGGGACCTGAGAACAGCCCTCAAATACGCTGAGGGCTGTTACAAAGAGGCCGGAGATGTCCACGGAAGGGCCTTCCTACCTGTACGTTTGCCGTGGTGGTGCAGCCCTGTCGGCCCTAGGATTTCAGAGACCGGGGGAGGGGTAATTTCTTTTATTGGACAAACTTCTGTTGGTGGCAGAGAAGCGGCTGTGGAGACCCCAGCCCTGGGGGGGTTAAGAACAGGTTGGACAAACCCCTACAGGGATGGGCTAGGGATGAACTGGTCCTGCCTCAGCACAGGGGCCAGCCCAGCCCTGCATGTCTGATTGCACGAGAGCTGGGGTGCTGCTGGGGGCTGCGGGCCCCTGGGGCCGTGGCTGCTCGGCCGGGGGTGGGAACGCCATGGGGCCCTTTGCAGACAGCCCCCACTGGTCCCAGCCAGCAGCTCCTGGGTTGGAATTTGAGCAGCAGCCGGTCCGGGCTCCTGCCTGCACACCAGGGATTGGGGTTCATGGACCCCCAGAGAGCCTAGAGAGAGATTGACCAGCCATGGCCGCCGGCCACCAGCCCCCAGTGCTGGGGGACTTGGCTGGCGTTTCCGGCCCCATCTGGGAAGCAGCGCCCACTGCCAGGACCCCGTGTGCGTCCGGGGAAGGGGGACACCCCGGGGGCAGCAGATTCCAGAGGAAACCGCAGCTGAGCCTGCCTGAGAAACGAAGCCCTGACTGTGCGGAGCTAAATCAACCCAGCTGTGCAGGCTGCCTCTGGGGGGCTGCAGGCCAGGAAATGTGTGGGGGGGCTTAGCCCCCATCCCACCCCCGCAAGGCGCTGTCATCTTAACCCCTTGTGGCCCCAGGAGGCACCGTTCTCCTGAGGCATGAGCCTCTGGTTGTTGTTTCTTAGAGTCCAGCTCCCGCACAGAGCAGAGCAGCCCAGCGGGGTGGGCTAAGGGGGGAGCGCCATCGGCATGCAGAGGAGTAGGCTGTTATCCTGCAGTGGGGCGGCTGCTGGGAGCGATGTGATTGGCATTCAGTAAGCAGATGGAGCGGGGGTCAGTCACCCCTGGGCGAGCCTGGTGCATTGTGACAAGGGTCTAGGAGGGAAATCCTGCCCTTGGTGCCCCCTGCATGGCCCTGCTCCCCCCTCCCCCCCCCCATGGTGCTCTCCGTGCCCCTAATGGCCCCATTGATCTTCCCAGGTCTGCGCAGGTGCAGCCGACTGAGCTGGGGCTAACGATTCAGTCTGAGGATGCTGGATCCAGATGAGAGTTCGGCTCGTCCGCTGGTAGCCGGGCTGGCTCTGCCGGGTTGGGGTGTGTTTGTGCCAGCGCTGAGAGCGCTGTGTGCCCGTCACCCGAGTCGGTGGATCTGCCTGACGTGTGTGTGTGTGTGTGTGTGTGTGTGTGTGTGTGTGTGAGAGAGAGAGAGAGTCTT